CCCGAGCCTCTGCATCCAGTCCAACGAATTCCTTCACCCTAGTCCACCGCTCGACTCCCTCACCTCAGCCCTCCGTTCTCAGCTTGATGAGCGTTTGGGCCTTACATAGTTAAGCCTTGCTGTGGGCTTACTGTAGGATAAACCCATCGAGACAGCCCGTCTCGATGAGCTTAATTGGCGAACTACTGCCTTGGGGTGGGTTTCTGGCGGATTGCTGTCCCAATAGGTTTAGATGCGACCGACTGTCTCTGAATGTTTGAGCGGTCTCCTCCTGCTGTTAGCTAGTTTCAGTTGATATCTGTCTCAGAAATACTTTTTAAAGGGAGGTTAAACGGAAATCGAACGTAAAGTGAACAGAGGAAAAGTGGTAACGAGTTACCTCATTGAAGAATAGCGCTCGCTTACTTCAAAAGGTTTGGCACCGTTCTTCAAATCTGATTTGCGATCGGGTTATGGGCTATGGCACAATTTTTCCCATTGGAGCTTTTTTCTAAAACAGCAATACGAAAATCGTTATATCGTTCAATAGCAGATCCAGGGAGCGGGCATATAAAGCAAATATTTACTCCCCCTCCCCTTGCATCGCCCGAAATAGACAAAACGTACCTTATGTTTCCTAATAATAAAACTTTTATCAGAATGTTGTTTGCTTTATACTGTTTAGCAGTAAAGGAATCGAAATCCGAGGAGTTTTTGGATTTTGGACACTTAGGGGGGGGGGGGGGTATGTCCCCTACAGCGTCGAAAACGCCTTTCTGGATCCGCCTATGACATCATCTCGACTGGGATCTTGCCAGGCATCGGTAAAATCCTTTTTGAAAGGATTGCATTCCCAATCCACATTCCTATAGTCCGTTTTTCTTAAGTTCGACCCTCACTCAAAGCATCTTTTTGAACACAGCACGAGAATTGCTGAGTAAATGACTGGGAAAACTGGTCGGCGCACATTGCTTTTCACATATGATCGACTTGACCAAAATTATTTGCAATTGAACTCTATTTCCCCGACTCGCAATGAGAATCTGTCTACATTTTAAATTCCTTAGCAATACACGAGCTGTCGGGAATTATAACTGAGCTCATCAATTCAACGCATGGAGTTTAACACTATGCTACTTTATCGGTGTTCATAACACATTTTGCAAATATTATTCATTCTTTGAATACATTGTGCGCCGGCCAGATTTCCCAGTCATTCACTCAGCAATTCTCGTGCTCTGTTCAAAAAGATGCTTTGAGTGAGGGTCGAACTTAAGAAAAACGGACTATAGTGCCGAAGTGGATTGCATTCCTACCCGCAATCCCCTTTTTTCACTTGGATTGTGATCAAATCCGCCATCCTTTTTTGCAATCCTGTTGTATTATTATGTGCACTAGTGGATCTGGGGGAGGGAGGGGGGCATAGGGCCGTGCCTCCATCCCCAAATCACCCATTTTTAGTACCTAATCTTGCGAGTAATTCCTATCTAAGGCACAGGTATTTTATGGGAAATATTTTTTGCCTCAAACACCCCCACATTTAAACCTCTACCCAACCAGTGTTTTATATTTTTAAAACTCGCCCTCAAATACGTAATTTTGCCCTTCCTATGCAGTTCATCAGCGTATATTATTTTGAGCGTTTAAATTAAAAGCGTTTAAATTATTTCAAGTTTCGATGTAAAGCCCTTGATAGCAAAGTACCTACCTTAAGCCGATGACGCCGATCTCATAATTTTCAATCGCAACAAACCATTTCAAAGCACTAATCAAACACAATCCGGATTGCATTGCAAAAATTGGAAGTATGACGCAATCCAATCCGCAATCAAATCCTGTTTTTTGGAATGAATTTCAAATCCAGGTGCAATCCACCAAAAAGGAATGCAATCAGGAATTTGCAATCCTGCAATCACAATCCTACCGATGCCTGGATCTTGCCCCCCACGCCAAAATCGAATCCGCCGCCAATGGCTGGATTGCATTGCAACACTGCATCAAACATACAGGAAAACGCATTCCGCTCCCAACCGTCCCAACCCGCGGCTGAAATGCGTTGATTTTTCATTCTACTTGACCTTTGCGCGTGACATCTAGAATAATCCATGCTTCTTTTTCATGACGAAATTTTATGCAGCGTGCTTCCTAGGAACATTTTTGAGTATCGTAAACGGGGGCGACTTTGCCATGTTTTCAACTTCAGACGCTTGTATTCTTTAAACTTGTTAACTTATTGGGATGACTCTATGTTCAAAACACGGATGAAGATTAGCTCTTTGGGTTTTGCTATTATCGTATTTATATCTTACCTAAAAATATAAATTTTTAAGAAAATGAGTCGTGGCAAAGTTAAACTGAAAAAGGGGTGACTTAGCCACTATGCCAAATAATGGGTTTTTAACGCTAACAAATACTTTTCAAGCATTTTTGTTCCATTGTATGGGGAAAGGCAACCATCCTTAATTGTTTAATATGAAAAAATAAAGCAATTCGAGTTTTTTTTTTTTTTTTGTTCTTAAACGATGTACGAAAAAGGAGGGATACCTTACTTTTATGATACACTATACTCGTATTTGTTGAAAATAATTGAGATTTGATAGTAAATAGAAACTGAAAAATGGCTCAGAAAATAAGCAAAGATATTATTGTATCGGTGTTCTAGGACCTTGCCGTTTTTTCCAGCGGCATTAAGAGGAACAGAAAGAGGACGTTCTTGCGGGAACTTACCGACACCCTTATTATCAGCGTTTTGATCTATAAAATGATTCAGATTTCTTCAGCCAGTCTCACTGGCAAACTCAGGAGTTTGTAGATGATCATGGCTGTGCTGAAAAGTTGGGCCCATCTTCATCCATTTTTTTTTTGTAATTTTTGCCTTTCTATACTCCCACTGTGCATTCCTGTGTTAATTTTCAACATATAAATTTTTACTTTTTAAAAACCAGTTTGGAGATGAAAATGATGCTACATTTAAAACTTATTTTGAATTCCATCGGATAAGTATTTCATTTTGCATTGATAACATGGTGGCAAAGTCTCCCCATGTGGCCTGCAATTCACTTGGAAGAATCGCCACCAAAAATGTTAGCTAAATGAAGTGACAAATGCCAGTTTTGTTGGATATGCTAACTTAACAGCCTTGTCATAATCAACCATACCAAGTTTCAGCATCACAGTTGGTCTAGAACATGGTTAGATAATAAAAAGTTCGGACCTCTTCAAATTTGACTATTTCATGACTTCAATAAAATGGAGCCCAGTTAGGTATTTAGTGGTAACTCATCTCTCAGTGTTGATTATGTTGGAAGGCCCATCATTATCTTCATTTGTGCATCAAAAATTATTACATTCTTCGTAAAATATCACTGAAGATCACCGGTCATCACCCTAAAGCATTTTTTTAGAAGCATGGCAAAGCCACCCAGCAAGGCAAAGCCACCCCCGTTTACGGTATTTATTTTTTAAATGACCCTCTCTACGATAATTATATTTAGACAGAGGATAAATGTTGCCTTTTTATAGGAAATCCCCTAAAACAGTTGATACAATGCCACATAACTAATCATGCCTGCCTTTGAAAATTTATTATTCATACAGTAAATTTCAGTCAATAGGGGAGAGCCGTCTAAAACGTCCAGGGTAGGTAAGACGCCCCATGCTCTTATTTACAACACAATGTTTCCTTGATTTTAACAGATAGGTACTGTGAAAGCAAAATACTGACCAATTTTTGTTATCGGCATTATCATTGGGTTGATTTTAAAGCAAAAAATGGTTGTTTAGTATTGTTAGACAATTAGACATATTTATGAAATATGATGGCTAAGAGTTGCAAATCGAAAATGATAATAGTGTTAAATGTGATAACATAAGTCTCAGTTGTTCAGGTCAGGGGACCAGGTTGAAAAAAACCGATACAACGTCAAAATGGCACTGAAAATACACCATTTTCCCGACACGATTTCTTTCAGACACAAAATTCCGATAAGACCATGTGATAGACAGGCTTCGGCCGTTTACAAAGCAGAAGATGACATGAGGAAAAAACTTCGCAACCCAGCGATTGTTTTTTAGCATGGGGAATGTCAACCATTTGAGATTTGCAAAATTTGAACGGTGTGTCTCAGAAAAAGATAGCCGACGCATTCGGCTACGCTATGATGCGAAAAATATACCCCTGGCACTTCCCGTTTGCTCAGAAATGTGGTCGTTTTGAAAAAAAAAAACGGTGCTTTGGATGTCGGCGCCAGTCTTCGTGAAGGAGTTGGCGCCAGAGAATAACTACAAAATACTCATGAATGGTGTCAATGCAAGCTGTCGGCTTTAAGGAAGAAGCAAATGTGTCCGGGGAGCTCGTCAAACCTAAATCCGACGCAGAAACTGCAGGGGATTTCCCTGCAAAAGCTTGAAAGCAGGTCACCTTTTATCAGCCTCCGGCAGCTGACGGAGCGACAGAAATCGGTATCGGCAAATATTTTTGGAACCACAGCAAAGGATTTGGTTTCCAACATTCCGAATTCGTTGCCAAAGCACGTATATTTGTCTAGTGTACACATAGGCATCAAAGCCCTATATTTTTGACTGATTCTTGTATGCTTTATTGGCATAGACAGCGTGTCAACGAACTTTTGAGACACCCTGTATATCATGTCGCATGTAGTGAGAAGAAAGCCATCTGATAAGTGAAAAGGATATCGGCCGTAGGTACTATTGCCCTCCGGCTCCAATGCCGTTATTTAGTACTTTCAGACAGATGGTCCCGGATCATAAGATTTTAAACGATGAGAAACAGGTCTGCCTACACAACACTTGCAAAAGATCTCGCGGTCCAAAAAGCCCCCCCCCCCCCCAAACAAAGAGTTTTGTGATATATGTGTTGTATACAGGCATTCTTTTCCTTCGCCAATACTTTATCATTAGCTTAGTCCGAATGCAATCTACCGGCCGCCGCATCACCCAGTCAGTAGGCGTCGGCTAACAAAAAAGAATACATTTTCCGATCACGCTCCTGTATGTTGCAGACATCACGATGAACTTCCCACCACCTGAAAGATCGCGGAGTGGACAGCAGACACCCAGACAACTCCCTCGCGTGTGTAACGACTACAACCGCAGGGGAGGATGTACCCGCGCCAATTGCCAGGAACTGCACTTGTGCACATACTTCCTTCAAAACAGATGCACCGCCGAGCGATGCAACAAGGCCCACGAGCTGGAGACGCCCAGAAACATCCTGCTGCTCGAGGGTCTGGGATGGAAAGGTTCGGACGATCTGGCTCTGGCGCTGGACACTCTCCGCGAGCGGGCTCGAATTCCGCAGGTCGGCGTCTGCTTCAGGTACATCTTGGACAGGTGCCCTGACGACAGTGAATGTAAATACTTGCACCTCTGCTACCGTTATGCAAAGGATACCTGTCCGCTGGGTCAGAATCGCTGCTTATACAACTTCAGTCACGACCTGGTGCACGACAAGCACAACGCAGACCTTCTGACCAGATTCGGTCTATACGACACCCCTTTGACAGAGATCCGCAGCAGACTGAAGGAGAAGATGCGCCACACGCCGCTCGAGCCGCAGCTCTGCAACCACACAAAGGACTGCAAAGGAAACTGCCTGCGACTACACTACTGCGAGGTGAACCTCTACGCTCACTGCAGGCACGGAGACCGGTGCTTCAAAGGTCACAGCCTGAAGAACGAGCACAACCGGCGGGTGCTGAAATACTTTGACTGGACGGAGGATTACGCGCTGAAAGAGCTGAAGAAAAGAGGCCGCAGGTCAGCTTCTCGGTCAGAAGGGGCTCGAACTCCGACAGAACAGGACAGCGAAGACGAATGGTCCGACCAACAGGACCTCTGCGAAGGATCGCAGCCGGGACCGAGTGCCGAGACGCGTGTCAGAAGGGATAACAGCATTGAGGAGGTCGCAAATTATGACGATTTACTTGACTCGTCGAACAGCTCGTGGGAACAGGAAGACAACACCCCGAACAAACTGCAGGAGAGGCAGAGAAAGCTGAAGGTGCAGCTGAACGAGGTGGAACGTCAGATGCGTAATGATAAGCGTAGACCGGGGACGAGCAAAAGACAGACAGCCTTAAGCGGCCAAAGTGCGAACAAGAAAAGTAGGAAGTAGGATTAAGGGCAATAGCAGAAAGAGAATCACAGGAAAAGAGATGATGGAAAGCTATGCAAAACTTCGATCATCAAAGCAGTGATGAAGATGATGATTTGTTGTTTTAGGGCGAAGACTATACATATCTATTATTCAGCAAATCAAGGTTAATTATCAACGGCAGATTGCCAGTAGGTATGCAGATCTTGGTGAAAGAGCGAAAGGATAAAGATCAAGAGCGAGCGATCAAAATAAAAAGAGAGGACCTAAAAAAGCAACTTAAATAAATTACGGAACTCCGAGCACCAAATCAGAATCAGGTTAAATACGTGGAAACAGCGTCTGCCTCGGCACCTTCGTTGAGCCAATGACCCTGGAGAGTGCCCACACATTCTGTAACAACCATGCATAGAAAACACACCGAGACCTGCCGAAGCGATATGCTCTCTGGCACACCACCCGCTCGCCAACGACCTTCTTGTGGCCACTGTCTGCTCTGCCGCCAGGTGACAAGCATACAGGTCCCCAGTCTGGTTTCCAAAAACATAGCCGACACCTTCTCCGGCGATCAGCAGCGAGGGGCACCAGCGGCGCCGGCACCAGAAGAACGGCAAGGAGACCACAACCTGTCCGGTTTGTGAATTCTTGAGGCGGGACATTTGGTTCGCTTACGGCGTAAGTTGGAGAACGTAACTCATGGAGACTGAGGGGCAGGCATAAGTGTGTCATCTGTCACCGTGTGGCAGTTCAACGATAGATTCTGCACAATCCTGACAGACTTTATGACAAATGATGCCCAGCACGAGGTCTCAAAGTACATGCTACCGCCTACCACTAATCCAATTTCGGGCGTTTGACCTGACCTTGACCCAAACATGCGAGTTCCCAGCTTGGCACAACTAAAAACATCGCCGGTTGCTTTGTTGATATCCACAATTGGACTTACGAGGAAGACAGCGGTGTCTGGACTCTGGAATCAGTGCCGACCAAACGCACCACGCTAACGCGTCGGCGTCAGTGACGGAGGTCCTGTCCTGATCAACGGCTTGACCTTCCATGTGACAGTGAGCTGCCTGACCTGCCTCAGGAACGGTGCCTGACCTAACCGACATGTCACCACTCACCCGACGCCCACGAGAGTACGGCCGGGCTCTGGACAGGACTGTTTGAGATCGACCTCAGGTAGCGTCGGGAGTGCTGGCAGGTGGCGTTCTGATGCTGGTGGAAGTCAGTAGTCACACTCCTCTACCCGTGCCGCATTCATCCGCTGGATTCCACAAGGTTTCCTAGTAGTGTTGTTTGAGAGTTGTGCGCAATGTGCTGAGCTATTATCTAGATTGGAAAGAATGAACCATATCACAATGATTAATATGTGCCCTACAAAATAAATGCAAATGTTGATTGAATTCGTTAATTGAATGTTGGTTGATTGCTAATGGTTGAATGCATGCGCAATCTACAAGTACTTGATTGTACCAGTTACAACCATTTTAATTGTCACTCTCATCAGAATTGGTATATAGTGCTAATACAGATAGTGTTGATAAAGCAGTCCAGCTAGACTGACAGCTGACAAAGACGTGGCGCATTTGAGACCAAACATAGGATTTGAATTTGTGAACAATTACGACATATTTTAAAAATGCTTTGCTCAAATAGCTATTACTATCTTTCTATCTATATGCCGGTCCCGTAGCTCAGTCGGTAGAGCGTTGGACTCCGCGTGGTGAGAGCACGCGTTCCCGGTTACAACAGTCCGGGTTCGAAGCGCGACAGGCGCTTGACGTTTATGGGCCTCCTGACAGGTATGGTTGCGGTTGGTGGCAGGCCGTAGCCAGGCGACGTCAGTGAGGGGACCGGCCGTGCGCGGATATGTGCGCACGTTAAACTTTGGACTCTAAATTCTGCCATAGAACCGGAATTGCGCGATCGGAGGGTAGAGGGCAGGGTCACCGCAACAAGCTTCGCTTAGCGGGGGCTCTGTCCTTGTGAATCCTTCCAATCAAAAGGTTCGGACTAAATTTATATATATATATATATATATATATATATATATATATATATATATATATATATATATATATATATATATATATATATATATATATATATATATATATATATATATATATATATATATATATATATATATATATATATAAATCTTTCGCCTAGTCCCTTTTCATGCATCATCACTTCAATTTAGCCTTACCTAGCACGGTATCGTCGAACAACGAAGAAGCGGCGGCCGTTATTCCTCCACATCCAGCCACTGTACACTCACAATTTTGTTCTCTACGGATTGGCGCCACGCTATTTGCCCATCTTTTCTCAAAGCAAGCAATATGTAATACCTACACTGGACAAACGATTTATTCGAGAATTCAAATCACCAAGAACCACCGCGCGGGTGGCGCACAACTGAATCCGGGTGGTTGGCGCCGCGTGCTGCCAACCTTTGAAAAATAGGGCGGAAAAAAGTCTCCAGATTTTTTTCTTTTCGCTACGTAACGTTGGACGGCCCTTGCGACTGTATCTGGTATGCGACGGCCGTATTTGGCACACAAAAAATATCTCTAGAATTATCTAGCTAGTGTTAAACCTATAGGCTTATGGAGAAATTTTTCGTGTAGGCCGTCAGAAGAGGCGGCTGGCAGTCGAATTGAACTTTGGAGGGCCATCATTTGAAGATTAGGCAATTTTGGACGAATGGTCTCGGATTGGGGCCTCAACCACCTTCCTCTACGTACGTGTTTCACTGCATAACTCTAAATTTGGGGGGAAAAACTAATAATACCTTAAAGGACCCCAAGCCCGCCTCTAACGGGTCGGGGTCCTAGTAAGGGACGCAAATCTATACATCTAAGGGGTCACGTGGGCCTCGGGATCCACATTTATCAGCTGAGGGCACCAAACCGCATTAGCAGGGCGAACTGATTAACTGAAACGTTTTCCACTTTTTCTGAGTGAGGATCAGGAGCATGTGCACAGCGGCCCGTCTGAAGGGGGTCCACCGGACCCAATGTGTCCTCCTCATGAGAAGGCTATGCCCTAACATCAATCACTGATTTTACCGGTCAATGTTTCTGTTTAAAATACGTTGTTACATTTCATTGCAAGAAGAACAATTTAATCACCACTGCATTCCTCGCTCCCTGGCACGCCGAATGACTCATAAAACGAGGGAATAACAATTTGAGAAAGGCAGGATTAAACACAAAATTTGATTCCCCCCCCCCCCCCCCCCCACCTAAAATGTCTGACGACGCCTATGAACACGTTAGCTCCATACGGGGACCCTTCAATCGGGAGGACCAGAGGCACGTCGAAAAGGTTCGGAGGAAAAACACCGAGCTAGTTGCCACCATCCGAAATCAGCCGTACGAGGAAAGGCAATTCGGATTCTCGACGTGCCGTCTCTTTACCGTCGCCGTCGGCGCAGCGACTGATAACTGTCTATCAGGTGCTGAGGTAGGGGGGATCGATCTCGAGGCGGACAGCTCTTCACGGCGGCAGCGGCAGGCAACAACTGCGGACACCGATGGAAGCTGTCGAAACCGAGGGTCGTCTCCCGAGTGCATCCCAATGTCTTCTCCGTCTGCGTCACTAACGATTGGAACGCACTACCGCCATCAGTTGTCGACGCCCCCAGAAATCGAGCCTCTCCCAATTCCACGCCGGCTTGGCTTTGGAGACGTAACAGTCGGCTCGGGTCAAGGTCAACGCTAGGGTCGCGGCGGATTTGTAGTGCTCGTGCACCCGCCACTCAATAGAAATCGACACCCATGAGTCTAAGTATACATATTACATACACTATACGTGAGGTGATGAGCGAGTTAGCCGGCACTTATATGTTGCTTGATAAATTTTGTGCGTGTAAAAATACATGATTTGGAAAAAACATACACTATATGCAGGCATAAGCGAAGAAGGTTGTCATTGGCAGTTAGAGTAACTGAACTCGCTGATGACGGATATAAAAAGACACTCATAGTTTGCCAAAGCAATTGTTTTTGTGGCGTGACGAATTTATTACAAACCATCTAAAGTCGCACAAATGATGCATTCAGGCTACCAAGATAATATAAGCACTATCTACACCAGCTGTAGTATCTTTATTCTTTTAGAAGGCTGTAGAAAATAATGGACTCACTGTCTACCTCCTACAGAGCGATACGCAATCTTACCGACCAATTGCAATGACAGCGGGGGGGGGTCGTTGATTTCTGATTAATCCACTGTAAGCCATCAAAGATTGTCACTGATAGAGCGACACGACACTATCTCTACACTTTGGAGCATGGCATCAGGTGACGGGGCGCCGGTGACCCGGCCTGACCGATCCCCGGAGCTCCGGCCGTCTGCGACACAAACACGGTGAGTACATAGTCGCAACTGAGCTGCTGCACAATGTTTCTCCTAGCTAGTGTCGGTGTAAGAGGCCAGAAAGTGGTGTGGCGGTCCGTTCAACTGTTATGTGAGAGCATTGGGTGAGAAAATAATAAGGATCAGAGAGGGGGAATGTCGTCAGAAAAACAGACGAAGGTTGGGCTTCCAATGTAGGTTTAAAAGTCACGGTTTTCATGTATCAAATGGATGAACGGATTTTGCAACATTTTAAATCCAATCAAACAAGTCTTTATGCAACAGACCGGCAAATCGTCACTGAATCCTACTAGCGTTTTCACGACGGAATAGCGGGTACCTAATTGGTCCTTTGATAACTCAGGAATTTTAGTAGTTCTTTATAGTAGGTTTTCCACCTTTCCAATGAGTGGCCCATTACTTTTGCTCTTTTTCTGCTAAATAAAAATCCCCCCGGCAGGGCGCGGGAGGGTGATATTCCGCCCTGGCTCGTGAGGTATGCCCTCCTCAAAGAGGTGTGCTGTGTACCCCTTATTTATGTGGTGTGCGCCTCTCCCGAAAGGTGTGCCCTTGTCACAAGAGATGTGCCCCTAGTCCTTGACGTGTGTCCTTAATCGAGGTGTTAGAACCCATGTCCCTAAAAGTGTAATCCTATGTAGTTTGTGGGACGTGCCCCCGACCCTATAGAGGTGTGCACCTGGCCATGCGATGTGCCCACAGCTCGTGTCTCGTGAGTTGTGCCCCTAGCCCAAAAGAATACCCCTAGCCCGAGAGGTGCCCCTGACCCGGGTGATGTGCCCCTGACTTGTGTGGTGTTCCCCCGGCTCATCAAGTGTGCCCCTGGCCCTGACCCGAGAGGTGTCCTTGTCCCGAAAGGTGTATCTCTGGCTCGTGGGAAGTGTCCCTGTTCCAGAGGTGTGCCCCTGACTCATTAGGTGTGCCCCATGTCCGAGACGTGCGTCCCTAGCTCGTGGAGTGTGCCTCCTGCTCATGAGTCGTGTCCCTATAGTCTCACGCCGTTGCCCGAAAACTTTTGAAAACGTGGGTGTGCCCCTGACATAAACGTGTGCCCCTGACTCGAGGACCGATGCGTGTGTCCCTATATCGAGTGCCTCTCGTTCGTATGTAGTGCTTCTGGACCGAGACTCGAGAGGTTTGATTCTGGTTCGCTACGTGCGTGTGCCCCTGTGGCCTCTGGGATGTCCCTGTGGGGAAGCTCAAGCCTTATTGGGGGTGCTCAAACTAGCATTGGGGGTGCTGAAGCACCCCCAATGATATACAAATCCAATTCCACACCCATGGGTGGACGGTTTCTATGGAAACGTTAGTAGATTTACTAATTTTACTGACGTTCCCATAGAAACCAAACGCATATGCCTGGGAGCGTCGGGTAGTGGCTTGTTATGGAACAGGGCCGCGAAAACGAAACTGACGCACAATGCGCAAGTGGCGCACAAAACGGCATCTATATCATCCAGCTCAAAGCTTCATCGAACGCAGCGTAGAATATTTTTCGTAGAATGTTATTCGGTCGAGGAGACTGAGAATATCGTTTTAACAACTGGGGCATTCCACGATAGATCATACCAGGCGCGTCACCCTCATCTCTCAGATTTTAATGAAGATCGGTCCTAGAGGTAATCATAGGCCCCAAAGACGCCTAGTAAAATATCAGACTTCTCAAATCAAAACTTTTTGAGTTATATTGCATTATATTTTTTAACTTCTGTTTGTAACGGTGAGTTTGATGGCCTATAACTCAAGAACGGGTTAAGCAACCAACAAACGGTGAAAGCACTAAGCTTGCGATGAATCAAAGATAAATATAACTTTTTTAGAAATTAAAAAAAATGGTTGTTGAACAAAAATCTTTATCTTTTTCATTTGCCTCTAATGACTTTTGGGACCAAAATTTTTCACATTTTTATTTTTTCAAAATAAACTTCATGTCATCGCAAATCAACATGCAAAAAAAATAATAGAAATGTGTTCTTTCGACAAGTTCCTCATTTTCCCGCAAAAAAAGGTTTCGGGGGGTTGATAAGACCCCAGCACGCCGTTTCGCTTCTAATAGAGCTATAGAGCCTCGCGGAAAAAACGAGCGTGTGTGCAGTTACAAGTCGCAGCGATTGGTACCCGATTTTAAGGTCTCAGGTTAACCAGTAGCATCTGAGGTCAGGTCAAGTGACTGAACTTACGGGTTCGGTTTTTAGTAAAAGACCTCGCAAACATGGCTGCAGAGCCGCGATTTTGGCATCATTGTGTTCGCCTAGCTGAGGTGCGTCAAATGGTATACTTTTTGTTTGGGTGAGGTCAACTTAAGCAGTTGACCTCGGGTCAAGGTAAGGTTAGAACCCCTCAGGTCACGAAGCTGGGCAAAGGATATCATATGGCTTATCATTCGATTCGGAATGTCTTCCCGAGTCCATTGATGGCTTTCCCGACTCTCTACCTCAATTTGATCGGGAGTTATTGACGCAAAACTCGTGCGACCCTAGTAACGTCATAAATGACGTCACGCAAGGTTAACAATGCAAAGGTGAAGCATTGGACTTTGCAAGGAGTGCATGAAATCACGATACCATGTACGTGAGCTAGTTTTAGATCATTATCCGCGCCAAAATAACAGTTTTTATATTTCCCCATTGTTCGAGAGAAAACGTACCGTGCCGCACAGCGACGGCATCGCGCGGCGGGCACGGCCGAGCCCGCCGTCCACGTGGTCCTCTGCAGGGCCTGGGGGGTCATCTGGAGCACATGTGTGCTGACCGGCCCCAACGCGCCGGGCCGGCCGCCGCCGGCCGGCTCGGCAGTTCGCGGCAAAACGACGACGAAGGCGCGGCTCCGCCGGCGCAACGGCGCCGGCGTCGTACGATACGATTAACGTGCATTGTGTGGTGAATATTCAAGAAATAGACATTCATCTAAGAACTCTTTTGGTCCTCCGGTTAATGGAACGATTCGATCAGATACGCAATTATTAGTGAACTTGACGATTACACGAACACTTTGGTCTGCCGTGCTGGATCAGAGTGAACGACCACGAAACACACGAACATTTTGGTCCTCCGGGCCGGATGTATGTGAACTAGTGAGTGAATGGACGTACAGTCCGACGCGAGTGCAGTGAATGAGTGATGTCGGAAGCGAAGTCCGACGCAGTGATGTCGGAAGCGAAGTCCGACGCGAAATCGACCGCAAAGGCGGTCGCACGGTGTGACGCTAAATCTACGCGCAGCTCGCAGGCATGTCATACCCGCAGCGAGACCTTCGGCAGCGCAGCCTCGTCCACCATCAGCGCAGCCCGCCGCCGAGCCGCGCTAAGCAAGCTCGCAGCGGAGCAAGGCCAGCGCGCGGCCGCGGCAAAGGCGGAGCTGACACGGCAGGAGGCGGAGCGGGCGCGGCAGGAGGCGGAGACGCAGGCGGAGCGGGCGCGGCAGGAGGCAGAACTGGCACGACAGCGGGCAGCTCTCGAAGCTCAACAGCTCGCCGACGAAGCTGAACGCCGTCAGCTGGAGCTGGAGCTGCTCGAGGAGGAGGAGTATGGCCACCAGTCATCTGCCGTCGACCGTCAGGCTCTAGCTCGGCCTGCTGCCGCAGCTCCAAGTGAGCCAGCCGCCCAGCTGCGTGAACCGCTGCTGCCGGGTGAGAGATTCTCACGCACCCGGGACTGGGTGGAGCAGTCCTCCCAGTACGGACAACTGGTGAGCGCGCGGCCATACGACGACCGTCCCCAGCAGGAAGCGCGACGCCCGCTACAGCCCGTGAGACAGCAAACGACTCCACAGCTGCCTCAAGTGACCCTGGATAAGTTCAGCGGCTCCGCCCTGGAATGGCCGAGATGGATCGCGCTGTTCAGGGCTCTAGTGCACGATCGAGACGACCTGACTGACGTCGAGCGCCTGACATATCTCCAGGCTCATCTCACCGGGCCGGCCAAGGAATCAGTGCGCGGTATGTTGTGCGAATCTTCTCTGTACGGTGAGGCTCTGCGTGAGCTAGAGGAGGAGTTCGGTGACCCTGCACGGGTCATTCACGCGACGATGAAAAAACTGCTCGATTCGCGGACGGTGAAAGATGGTGATATGTCAGCCGTGACAGAGCTGTCACGTGACCTTCGCACCGCGGTCCGTGTGCTACAGTGCCTTCACTACGACGCGGACATCTCGGCTGCCACCAATGTAACAGCCGTGATCTCGAAGCTTCCCGCTGCGCTGGCGCTGAAGTGGGGCGAGCACGCTGTACACGCTGGTCTCGTCCGCCCTACTCTCGCTGACCTGGACAGCTGGCTGCGCCGCTACGTGGCCGCTGGGCGCGCGTCCCTGACCCTGACGGGCCACCAGCAATCCAAGGCCGAGGTCAACAGTGGGGAGAGCCGGCAGCGGCGTGTTTACGCGACTGCGCTAGCGCCGGCCGCACCCCGAGAGGTCGTAAAACCGAAAATTAGTGCAATAAAGGCAGCGCCGGTCGCGAGTGAGGACACATGTGTAGTCTGTCAGGGGGCACATGACGTAGAGCGCTGTGACAGGTTCCTGGAGCTGACAGCGAGCGAGAGAGCTGAAGTGGCCGGTCGAAACGGGCTCTGCTTCAACTGTCTCGTGCGAGGCCACATCAGCGCCGCGTGCACGTCTAGCGCAAAATGTGGTCACGAGAACTGTGGAAAACGTCACCACACGCTTCTGCACAACGGAGAGCGTGTGTTTCCACGGCGCAATGCTGCCGGCAGCGCGCCGTCACCAGTGAAACATGTTGGCACTGCGGTGGTCGAGCCACCCTGTAAGGTGCTGCTGCAGACACTGCCGATAACGGTGCATGGTCCTGCTGGGCGCTGCACAACCCACGCGCTTCTCGACCTCGGGAGCCAGGTAACGCTGGTGACCGAAGGCCTGAGCGACCGTCTCGGCATCTCTGGATCCATTGACAGTTTGGTCCTGAGTACCCTAAACGGAAGTGAACGACTCAGATCACGCCGTGTGTCCTTCGTGATCGAGCCTGTCAGCAGCGGTGGCACACGTCACGAAATACGGAACGCCCAAACGACGCCGACGCTGAGTGTGTCAAATCACGCCATGGACTGGTCACGGGAGAAGGGCAAATGGCCTCATCTCGCTGACCTGGATCTGCCGAGTACGACTCGAGGTCCAGTAGAAGTACTTCTGGGCGCTGACGTCATAGAACTGATCGTGGCACGTGAGGTGATCGACGGACCGCCGGGTGCGCCGTGCGCCGTGAGAACACTGCTCGGCTGGACGGTCACCGGCCGCGCGCCGGATCGAAACCTGCCAGTCAACAAGGACGTGCATCATATCCGTGTCAGCGAGGAAACCCAGGACGCTTCGGAAGTGACTCGATGGCAACACGTGCCAGGGTCACTGAACTCATCGAACATAGGCAGCCGAAGCTGCTCGGTGACTGAGATGGCACCGAGCGGAGAGCGGGGCCAAGGTCGCGCCGTCCTGTCGCGCCGTCCCCAGGACCGGCCCGCCGCGCCGCCCCGCCCGACAGAGCGCCCGAGAGACGAGGAAACAGCCGAAATGAGAGCACCAGCCTGCGTCACCAGGGGAGCGGAGCCGGCCATAAACCCCAGCCGGTTCTCATCATGGCTCAGGCTGCTGCGTGTGACAGCGTGGGCGCGCCGATTCGCTCACAACAGCCGCAGCCGAGCAGCAGCTGATCGGCGGACGGGACCGCTGACTGATGAAGAGCTGAGAGAAGCTGAGCGCGTCTGGCTGCTCAGCACACAGGCCGAGCAGTTCGGCGATGAAATCGAAGCTCTCCAGCACGGAAGGCGGCTTCCCTCGAACAGCCAGCTGCACCGGCTTAACCCATTCCTGGACTCGAACGGCCTTCTGAGAGTCGGGGGCCAGCTGCGCCACGCCCAGCTCGACTTCAAGGTCAAGCGCCGGGTGATTCTACCTGCACGCGGAGACATCACTCGGCTGATCGTCACCGACCGACACGAGAAGTTCGCCCATTCTGGCGCAGAGCACGTTCTGGCTCACCTGCGGCACCACTTCTGGGTCATCAGTGGCAGGGCCGCTGTGGAGCGGTACACACCTACCTGCACGCCGTGCCGGAAACGGTCAGCCCAGCCAGCGCCGCCGCTAACGAGTGACCTACAGGCTTCCAAGTGGGCGAGCCGGCCCCGAGCCGCACCTCCGGACGCTCATCACACGGATGAAGTGACGCGCAGACCCGGCAGACGTGCAGCTCGACGAATTAGCGCCGGTGACAAAGGACAATCTGCCTCGCGGGCACTGGCCTGTGGGGCGAGTGGTGAACGTGTTCCCTGGCGCCGACGGCCGAGGGCGGGTGGTCGAAATGGCCACTGCCACTGGTCGCTCTAGACGGCCGGTCTCTCGTCTCTGTTGTCTGGAGTGCGATGGTGACGGGCAGTAAATGGACTCAGACGGATGATGTGTGCGCGAGTGGGGCGACTAGTGAGTCTTTTACGACCACTGTGAGCCGCTGCCGAGCAGCGTCGGAGTCTGGACATTTGTGAGTGTTAACTGCGTCCGTCATTCGTGTTAGGTCGACGTGTGCGTGTGTGAGAATGAGCCGCTCATTCTGTTTTCTGTCACTGGTCAATTGTCATTTGTGTTTGGTGTTTAGCCATTAGCCAACAGCTGTGAGCCGTCCGACAGCCCTAAGCGTTCACACTGCCGCAGTGTCGCTCCTGGCTCATTTAGCCGGTCGGCCCTGTACGAGCTAGTATATAGTTTACGACCTTAGAGTGTAGCAGCCTTAGATTGGGACCGACGCGCGGCGCAACCAATGTAGTTTACACTTTACAGCCTTAGCTTTAGCGTTCGTTTATTGCTGTACGATACGGACGGAGACGCTGCCTGCGAGCAGCTGTTTGTTGTTTCGTTAATGTTTTCTCTCTTACGTTTAGAATTTCCGCGAGCGACGCGAAAATTCGGGCCGGCCATGTTCGAGAGAAAACGTACCGTGCCGCACAGCGACGGCATCGCGCGGCGGGCACGGCCGAGCCCGCCGTCCACGTGGTCCTCTGCAGGGCCTGGGGGGTCATCTGGAGCACATGTGTGCTGACCGGCCCCAACGCGCCGGGCCGGCCGCCGCCGGCCGGCTCGGCAGTTCGCGGCAAAACGACGACGAAGGCGCGGCTCCGCCGGCGCAACGGCGCCGGCGTCGTACGATACGATTAACGTGCATTGTGTGGTGAATATTCAAGAAATAGACATTCATCTAAGAACTCTTTTGGTCCTCCGGTTAATGGAACGATTCGATCAGATACGCAATTATTAGTGAACTTGACGATTACACGAACACTTTGGTCTGCCGTGCTGGATCAGAGTGAACGACCACGATTCACACGAACACCCATTGACTTATATTAACAGTGATGTCACGTGACCGACCTGACCTTATGTGACCTTTGAAAATTCCCAGATATGAGTTAGTTGTGAGACCTCTGGAGGACACTATGTATACGTCCTGTAACTTTCATCTCGGACAGCTATGGTCATTGGCGTCCAAAACAATGTCAGAACCAAACAGCCTTTTTCACTCTCGCGCTTATAGGAAAGAGGGTTGGATGAACCCTCTTTTCAGTTTTTCAGATGACCCAGACTTCAATTGAAATTTCAGTAACCCGTGATGTCACTAGGCAGCTTTACCACGCCATTTGTAAGCTCCCCTCCCGAAATCACTATTCGAGACCCTTATCGTGACGCAAAATAAATACATTTATAGAAAGAACACCTTCCTAATCTTTTGCATACTTCTTAACAATGAGCCAAATACTTTTTAAAAGAAATAAAAACTCAAAAAAAATTTGTACCAAAGTCCAAAAAATACAAATGAAAGAAAACTCGATGTCATATATCAAAAATAGCGTATTTTTCAAAATGTCAAAATACATATTAATCTCTGTTTCATTGCAAGTCCAATGCTATATAGAATTTGGTATTTCAATAATCCGTCTTAGAGTTACAGCCCGCCAAACTTAGCGCTGCAAAGCAAGATCTAAAAAATGTTTACATCATAACTAAAAAATACTGATCTGATAAACCTGAAATTGTTACAGGTGGATTCAGAGTCCCTGATTATCCCTGAGACCAATTCTCGTCAAAATCCGAGGGATGAGGGTGTCAAATTGGAAAAAAGTGGTACGATCTATCGTGGAATGCCCCAACCTTGACAGATCAATATGCTTTGGGGGGGGGGGGGGCGACAAACGGGCGAGCGAGAGAGTGAGCCCTGCATGTGCAGAACTGATGGCATACTACTAACCGGTGTCTAGAGGTGTGCCAAATTTGAGTGCATCGATCCAGCCGTACTTGGGATCTAAAGCGACCCCTGGGCGTGCGTACGTGCAGTAGCACTCCAGCAGGATCCACTCGAGCCTTAGATTTTTGTTCTTGGTTTGTTGTCAGATCCTACGAAGTACGAGATCATAGATCCAGGACATATTTTATGTGTGGGATCCAATGGGATCTTACTTCCCAGTTTGTCCTTTACTCTGAGATCCACTAATGTCAAAATCCATCACACGGATCCATGCACATGTATGGTCGGAATGCGGTTTACTGGCCACCGTGTCACCCAGTCAGTAGACGTCGGCTAACAAACAAAGAATACATTTTAAAATCACTCCTCTGTGTGTTACAGGCGCCACGATGAGTTTCGCACGACATGAAAGACCGCGGAGTGGACAGCAGCAGACGTCCAGACAACTCCCTCGCATGTGCAACTACTACAACCGTGGGGGAGGGTGTACCCGCGCCAATTGCGAGGAACTGCACTTGTGCACATACTTCCTTCAAAACAGATGCATAGCCGAGCGATGCAACAAGGCCCACACCCTGGAGACGCCCAGAAACAAACGGCTGCTCGATGGTCTGGGATGGAAAGGTATCGGTGACATGGAGATGGCGCTGGACATCCTGCGCCGGCGGGATCGAGCTCAGGCGGTCAGCATCTGTTTCAATTACAACATGGGCATCTGCCCCTCCACCGAATGCGACCGGCTGCACGTCTGCTACCGTCATGTAATGGATAAGCAATGTTCGCCGGACGACTGTGACCTCAGTCACGACCTGGCGCACGGCTATCACAACGCAGTCCTTCTAGCCAGAGCCGGTCTGAACGACACCCCCGAGACAGAGATCCTCAGACAAATGCAGGAGCAGGTGCGCCGCTATCCGCCCCAGCCGATGCTCTGTTACCACCACAAGGAACACTGCCTGCGACTACACTACTGCGAGGCGTTCCTGCACAGTCGCTGCAGGTTCGGAGACAGGTGCTACAAAGGTCACAGCCTGAAGGAACCGCACAACCGGCGGGTGCTCAAATTCTTTGGCTGGACGGAGGAACATGTTCTTGAAGCACTGAGGAATGATAGAGTAGGCGGATCAGCGTCTCGTCCAGCCAGAGCTCAAACCTCAACTGATCGAGACAACGACAGAGAAAGATCCCACAGACACGACTCCTGTGAAGGATCGCAGGGGCTAAGCGTTGAGACGCGTACTAAGAGAGCCGACCGCGCTAAAGTGAACACAACCCGCGAGGACGACATACTTCACTCGTCGAACAAGCAACCAAAGCGACATTACAAGGTGCATGAGCAGGCAACCCGAGTGCACCCAAAGGGACGAGAAGACAGCGGCTCGAGCCAGCAGATGGAGGCGGAGAGAAAGCAATGGGAGGCGGAGAGACAGCAGTGGGAGGCGGAGAGACAGCAGATGGAGGCGGAGAGAAAGCAGTGGGAGGCGGAGAGACAGCAGATGGAGGCGGAGAGAAAGCAGTGGGAGGCGGAGAGACAGCAGATGGAGGCGGAGAGAAAGCAATGGGAGGTGGAGAGACAGCAGTGGGAGGCGGAGAGACAGCAGATGGAGGCGGAGAGAAAGCAGTGGGAGGCGGAGAGACAGCAGTGGGAGCGAAAAGAGACGGAATGGAAGGAAAAGGAAAGGGATTGGAGGGAAAAGGAGAGGGATTGGAAGGAAAAGGAGAGGGAATTAGAGGAAAGGGAATTGGCATTGAAAGAAGAGGAGAGGGAATTGGAGAAAAAGAAGAGGGCATTGAAGGAAAAGGAGAGGGAAGTGGAGGAAAAAGAGAGGAACTTGGAGAAAAAGGAGAGGGAATGGGAAAACAAGGAAGACGAACGGAGGAACATGGAGGCAGATTGGCGTCGAAAGGAAAATGAATGGACAGAGAAGGAAATAAAGACCTTACAGGAGAAACAGCAGTGGCAGAGAAAGGAGACGGAATGGGATGAAAAGGAGACGGAATGGAAAAACAAGGAAGTCGAATGGAAGGAAAAGGAGGCAGATTGGCGTCGAAAAGAAAAGGAATGGACAGACCAGGAACCAAAGATAACAAGAGAGCCACAACAAAGGGAAAGAGAAACATACGAGACAGAGGAAAAAACGGGGGAAGAAGCTGATGATAAGCATAGGCTAAGAACGAGCAAAAGAAAGACAAGGAACTTAAGCGACCAAAGTGTGAACAAGAAAAAGAAGAAGGATCAAGGACATTGACAAAAAAAAAAATAATCGCAGGAAAAGAGATAACGAAAAGCTATACAAAACCCGATCATAAAAGCAATGAGAAGACCATATCTACTATTCAGCAAATCAAGATTGATTATCAACGGCAGATCGTCAGTGTACAAATTTCAGACTCTGGTGAAAGAGCTGAAGGATAAAGATCAAAAGCAGAGATCAAATTAAAAACAGAAGAGGATGATATGAAAAAGAAAATTGAAGAGCTGACAAAACTCCGAAAACTGGTTAGAAAGCAGAAAGAGTACGTGAAATGCAACGCCTAACTAGGCACCTTTGTTGGGCCAGTAACCCTGGAGTGTACCCACACATTCTGCAAGACCTGCGTAGAAAATACACCGAACCTGCTAAAGCAATGCTCTCTGGCATACCACCCGCTCACCATCCACACATACACGTACGCCGCGAGTGTCCGCTCTGCCGCAGGGTCAGAAACCTAAGTACAGGTCCCCAGTCTGGCTCTAAAGAACACATCCGGCGCCTTCTCTGGCGATCAGCAGCGAGTTGCCGCCAGTACATAGACCAGCGACGCCGGCACCAGAAGAACGGCAAGGAGACCACGACCTGTCCGGTTTGTGAATTGTTGACACGGAACATTTGGTTCGCTTATGGTGCAAGTTGGAAGACTCAAGGACACTGAGGGACAGGCACTCGGGTGTCACACTGTCACCGCGTGACACTTCAAAGATAGATTGTGCACAATACTAACAGAGTTTATGAAGAGTGATGCACAGCACAAGTCTCAAAGTTCATGCTACTGCGAATCAATTTTGGGTGTTTGACCTGACCGTGAACCAAATATGCAAAGTCCCAGACATCCAAAAACCTTGCCGGTTGCTTTGTCAATATCCAGCAGACAAATCATCGGACAATCATCGGACGGGCGAGTTGGACAACGGTGTCAGGAAGCAGTGCCGACCGAACCCCGCCTAACGCGCCAGTGACAGAGGCCCTGTCCTGATCAACGGCTTGACCTTCCATGTGACAGTGAGCTGCCTGACCTGCCTCAGGAACGATGTCTGACCTAACCGACATGACATCACTCATCCGACGCCCACGAGAGTACGGCCGGGCTCTGGACAGGACTGTTTGAGATCGACCTCAGGTAGCGTCGGGAGTGCTGGCAGGTGGCGTTCTGATGTTGGTGAAAGGCACACTTCTATGTCAGTGCCGCATTTATCCGCTGGATTTCACAGGGTTTACCAGCAGTGTGTTGTTTGAAGGTTGTGCGCAATGTGCTGAGCTATTATCTAGATTGGAAATAATGAACTATATCACATTGATTAATTTGTGCCCTACAAAATAAATGCAAATGTTGGCTGAATCTGAATTTGACACTTGCCATTCTTGTATAGTATAGCATAACACATATTATTTGGCGAGGCACCGATCACCGATACGAGTTACGGATGACAGTTTTAAATAGGCTCTGCCACTGAAAAGCATTACGTATACACTCTGACACTACTGTTCCTAACGATAGTGCGGCCACACCTGCATGGGTGTCGTTTTATAGGCTTGGTAGGGCCATCCCCTATCAATAATTTCAGAATGTTAACATTAATCCTATGGTGATGCATGGTAAGAATGGCATTGGTATGCTGAAATTAACTATTAGAGACCTACCAATAAATTTCGGAAAGTGACACCCATGCGCACCTTGAATCGTTAACTCCAGCTGGGGACCCTTCAGTTGGGAGGGCCAGCAGTGGCACATCGTAAAAGTCCGGAGGAAAGGTACGACGCTGGATGCCTGCCACCATCCGAAATCAGCCGTACGAGGAGAGGCTCCGGATTCTAGAACTGCCGTCTCCTTACCATCGCCCTTAGTGGCGACATAACTGTCTACCGGGTGCTGAGACAGGGAATTGACCTCGAGGCGGAGGGGTTCTTCGCGGTGGCAGCGACAGGCAACACATGCGGACACCAATTGTAACTGTCGAAACCGAGAGTCTCCCCTCGCGTGATCAACGATTGGAACGCACTACCGCCATCAGTTATCGACGCCCCCAGCCTCAACACCTTTCAAATCCAGATTGGACAAACACTGGGCACACTTAAAATACACAACTCTACTTAATCCAACATTAGGTCGGCGTTCCGGCTCACAGAAATTCAATAACGAGTTCTGGGATATTTGTTGCGGCTCTGAGGCACAACAAGCGAACAAAGCCAACAAAACACATGCGCGCGGTGGCGAAATCATCGCATGCCTCCATTCAGAGTTAATAGCATCAGAGTTTTGACCATGGGTCATATATGACGTAGGCTCACGACTAAGTCAGGACACCGCAAGGAGCTCGATAGGACTGCATCCTTCAGCCCAAGTGGCCTTTCAAAATCCCGCACTTGATAAGCACAAGTATAAGCAAAAGAGGTTGCCATTTGCATTTGGAGTGGCTTAACTCGCTGTCCGCTGATGACGGATATAAAACGACACTCACACTTGCAAAGCAGTTGTTTTGTAGTGTGACGACTTTATTTATAATAAAACACATCAAAAGTCGCACAAACGATGCATTTAAGCTACCAATATAGCATAAATCGCAGCACTATCTACACCAGTATCAGTATCTTTTAAAAGGCTGTAGAAAATAATAGACTCATTGTCTACCACCCAAAGAGTGATGCGCAATCTGGCCGGTGAAATGCAATGATAAAGGGATGTTGTTGAGTTCTGATTCATGCCCTGTAAGCCATCAAAGATAGTCACTTGATAGCGCGACACATCTCTGCACTCTGGAGTGGCATCAGGTGACTGGTCGCCGGTGACCCGGCCTGACCGATCCCCGGCACTCCGGCCGGCCTCAACGTAAAAACGGTGAGTAGACGCAACTGAGCTGCTGCACAGTGTTTCTCCTAGCTAGTGTCGGTGTAAGAGGCCAGAAAGTGGTGTGGCGGTCCGTTCAACTGTTATGTGAGAGCATTGGGTGATGAAATAATAAGGATCAGAGAGGGGGAATGTCGTCAGAAAAACAGACGAAGGTTGGGCTTCCAATGTAGGTTTAAAAGTCACGGTTTTCATGTATCAAATGGATGAACGGATTTTGCAACATTTTAAATCCAATCAAACAAGTCTTTATGCAACAGACCGGCAAATCGTCACTGAATCCTACTAGCGTTTTCACGACGGAATAGCGGGTACCTAATTGGTCCTTTGATACCTCAGGAATTTTAGTAGTTCTTTATAGTAGGTTCTCCACCTTTCCAATGAGTGGCCCATTACTTTTGCTCTTTTTCTGCTAAATAAAAATCCCCCCGGCAGGGCGCGGGAGGGTGATATTCCGCCCTGGCTCGTGAGGTATGCCCTCCTCAAAGAGGTGTGCTGTGTACCCCTTATTTATGTGGTGTGCGCCTCTCCCGAAAGGTGTGCCCTTGTCACAAGAGATGTGCCCCTAGTCCTTGACGTGTGTCCCTTAATCGAGGTGTTAGAACCCATGTCCCTAAAAGTGTAATCCTATGTAGTTTGTGGGACGTGCCCCCGACCCTATAGAGGTGTGCACCTGGCCATGCGATGTGCCCACAGCTCGTGAGTTGTGCCCCTAGCCCAAAAGAATACCCCTAGCCCGAGAGGTGCCCCTGACCCGGGTGATGTGCCCCTGACTTGTGTGGTGTTCCCCCGGCTCATCAAGTGTGCCCCTAGCCCTGACCCGAGAGGTGTCCTTGTCCCGGAAGGTGTATCCCTGGCTCGTGGGAAGTGTCCCTGTTCCAGAGGTGTGCCCCTGACTCATTAGGTGTGCCCCATGTCCGAGACGTGCGTCCCTAGCTCGTGGAGTGTGCCTCCTGCTCATGAGTCGTGTCCCTATAGTCTCACGCCGTTGCCTGAAAACTTTTGAAAATGTGGGGTGTGCCCCTGACATAAACGTGTGCCCCTGACTCGAGGACCGATGTGAGTGTCCCTATATCGAGTGCCTCTCGTTCGTATGTAGTGCTCCTGGACCGAGACTCGAGAGGTTTGATTCTGGTTCGCTACGTGCGTGTGCCCCTGTGGCCTCTGGGATGTCCCTGTGGGGAAGCTCAAGCCTTATTGGGGGTGCTCAAACTAGCATTGGGGGTGCTGAAGCAGGGTTCCGGACAAAATATCGAAATGCAAAATATCGAAACGCAAAATATCGAAATGGAAAAATATCGAAGTTGCAAAATATCGAAAAGCATATGTAACATCGAAATGGCAAAATATCGCATCGTAAAATATGGAAATAGCAAAATATGGAATAGCATAATATCGAAGTTGAAAAATATCGAAAAGACAAAATATATCGAACGCAAAATATCGAAAAGACAAAATATCGAATGCAGAATATCGAAATGACAAAACATCGAAAGACAAAATATCGAAAGCAAAATATCGAAAACAGAATATCGAAAAGACAAAATATCGAAAGCAGAATATTGAAAAGACGAAATATCAAAAGCATAATATTGAAAACGATCCCTGATTAATTGACCTTCCCGACAGTTTTTGCTTTGAAGTTACATTTCCCGATGAATTCCTACCCATAACGTCAAACGCCTCGCCACGAACTACTTACCCTATCCCTACTTCGCACTCGTATCCCTTTCCTTACGTCTCATTGTATAATCGTAATATCGTAAAACAACGGTTTAACTGAATAATCATTTCCCGACAAGTCTAACATCCTACTTTAACCCCGCTCAAATCAACGCCTGGCGCCTCTTAACCCGTTTCCCGAAAATTCCTTTGTAAAATTATATCCTCCTCTCTCGCCCTAAACGACTAACGTTCTTAGCTCACAAAATACAGCTCGGTCAAGGCGAGCACTCACAAATTTAGCTACTCGTTATCATTCCTATCTTGATCTTACTCAAACCACAATTTCCCTTTTCAACGTAAAATAACGACTTCAAATGGAAAGGTCGTAGGTTATGTATTTAGTATCGGGGGTCTAGATTGGGCTCCCCTTCGGAAAGGTTACGACGAGAACTGATTACCAGTAACATCTACGAAAGACTACGCTCGCTTCGCTCGCTCCGTTATAAAGGCATAGGTCGGTTGGGCTAACATTTCTGTCGTGCGTGCGTGCGTGCGTGCGTGCGTGCGTGTGTGTCAGCGATTCACATTTCCCTGTAATGCCCACCGTCCGGTAGTTAGTGGAAATAAACGAAGTAATAATTAATAGTAAATCCGATGAGAAAACAGGATTTGGGGTACCCTATGCTTGGCTCCTACATGAGTCGCCCCCCCCCAAAAAAAAACGCAAGTCTGGATCCGCCAGTGCCAATACGTTCCCATTTGCACAGTCGTTATGCAATCCTAGGAATACATTTTGAAATCACGCTCCTATATGTTACAGTCGTCAATATGGAAGGAAGCGGGAGCGGAAAAGCAGAAAAGGAGGACATGAAAAAGAACAATGAAGAGCTGACAAAACTCCGAGAACTATTTCAGAAGCATAAAGGATACGTGGAATGCAGCATCTGCTTTAGCATCTTCGTTGAGCCAGTAACCCTAGAGTGTGCCCACACATTCTGTAAGAACTGCATAGAAAAGACTCCGAGACCTGTCGCAGGAATATTCGATTACCCGCACCCTCCAAATCAAAATCAATGTCGCCAGTGTCCGCTCTGTCGCCAAGTGTCAAACATACAGGTTCCCAATCTGGCTCTGAAGAACATATCCGGCACCTTCTCTGGCGATCAGCAGCGAGAAGTCGCCAGGGGGACCAGCGGTGCCGGTGGGACCAGCGGTGCCGTTGGGACCAGTGGTACCGGTGGGACCAGTGGTGCCGTTGGGACCAGTGGTACCGGTGGGACCAGTGGTGCCGGTGGGACCAAAGGTGCCGGTGGGACCAAAGGTGCCGGTGGGACCAAAGGTGCCGGTGGGACCGGCGGTGCCAGTGGGTCCAGCGGTCCAGCGGTGCAGGCACCGCTGGCCTCCTTCGGTGCAGTACCGCGGGCCGCAGTCGGTTCGCAAGTGGCCTACAACAGCAAGACAATTAGTCCAGAACTTGAAAGGATGTTACAAGACATGGGGTTTCCGATTCTCCCACATATTTTCCGGGATTGATAGGATAGATGCCGCTACGGCGCTAGTTGGGAGACGTAAACCATGGGGACTGATGGGTAGACATAAGGATTGAATATCTGTCACTGGGTGATTTCATGCTTATTGTTCATATGTGTATGTATGTATGTATGTATGTATGTATTCACTTAAGCAGACCAATCCACACGACAGGGCTATTCTGAGGTCATTGTCATACAATCAGCTAATAATAAAGAACACAGTAAAAATACATCATCATACTGTATCTAATTAAAAGTATACACTAAAAACGCGTATATACCTATAAAATGTACACACATGATAAGATTGTGTATTTAGTGAAGTGATTTGGGGTGTGTCTATGCATTGCAGAATCATCTGTATTTATCCAGATTTAAGCGGCGGATTAAATATAAGTCATAGAAACAATGATTCTGAAAATAGGTAACAAATGATTGGTACTCAGCGAGTTACAATTACGCTGCCAGTCGAATTCATACAATTGCATTCAAAATAATCATCCAAGCATTCCTAGGAGCAAGTGAAATTAAAGCTTCTGAAGAAAAAAATGGATGTGTTACAGGCAAAGTGAAAACTCGGGCATTTTGCAAAATGCCTAGGCAATTTGCAAAATGCCTGACACGCCAGGCATTTTGCAAAATGCCCAGGCAGTTTGCAAACTGCCTGACCCACCAGGCATTTTGCAAACTGCCTAGGCATTTTACAAAATGCCTGACCCGCCAGGCATTTTGCAAAATGCCTGGGTTTCCATTATTCCACCGTTTTTGTTGACTACAGGCGTTGATCATAAACGTTCCACTGTGACTGACCCCACAACACATTTCACATGTGTTGTGGGCACATGTGACACATTCCACGGTCACGAATACAGGGTGTCACGATATTGTTGCGGGATGTTGTACTTGTGTCCCGAAATGTATTGCATCGTAGTTGCGTCAGTGTTCTCCAGCACCTCACTGACAAGTTATCAGTGGCCACATGGTCTGTCCCCGCGGCACCTGGTGAAGCTCAAATAGGCCTCTCTAGCCCATCATGCCCCAAACGAGAATCCCCAGTGCCCAGTGGGTGCTTCACCGTCTCGACGGTGCAGCGCCTCTGAGCTGCTGTTGGCCCAGAACTGCTTGTCGGGACGGTTAGTGACTAAGGAGAGTTCTAATAGCCGTTTTCACGACGGGCTATCCGGCGAGTGCACCTAATTTGACCAGATCTGCACATAATCTCTTTTACAGCAAATATCTTTATTTTATGAATTTATTTCAGTGTTTTAACCGATGATGCTCTCTGATAATATGACAAAGGAGGCATATAAGCAATTAGTACAACCCTAGCTGATGGCTACTAAGAGACACACTGAACCAGCTTGACCAAATATGCACCTAATCTGCACCAGATGTGAACCAAATGTGTACCAGATGGCCGTCGTGAAAACGGCTAATATCGCCTCACGGCCTCATCATTGAAAAGTCTGAATCTTTAGTCCTGAATGGTTCAGATTTGGTGGGTTTTGTCGAAATCCAGCTGCATCACTTATGGATGACGGTAAGTCAGGGTTGCAGCCTGAGGTTGAGCGGCTTCAGCTTTAGGGTGAAATCTTCAGATACCGGGGGATGGCCGATTTAGATGCCGAGTGCCCTGGTCCAGATGCCCTGGTGCCGGAAACCGTTCAAGTTTCCATTCAGCACTCAGGAGGGGCATGGAGGGACAAGACCGCGCCAACCGCGTATCAAGCTCGTGACACTCTGTATACCTACGTCTTGCGTCAATTCTGTCGAGATGGAGCCAACGCTGAATGGACTTGAGCCACCGTCTCCGTACCTTTCGTATATACGGAGTTGTATCCGTGTGTATAAAAGCTTCGATGTCCAGTATTCTGCCCCGGTGGGCAACTGTTCAGGCAGAGACGATTGATAATGTACAGCCCTCAGCAGACTACGTGGTAGGTATTCTTTTTTCGACAAAACCGATAATAATTCAGAGGCTATGCTATCAGTCGGTCAGAACTCACTGCAAATGGATGCGCCATGCTCCACTCTTTCGATTAGGTGTATCACTAAACAAAGTATACGCCTTGTGTGGCAACAAAATGCAAAAGTTTGTTTTGGGGGCAAATATAAACTTGGATTTTGTTGCCGTGCTAGAAGGAAAATGAATACGGTGATGATGCCAATCTAAGGTGCGGAGTCTCGCGTGTCTTCCTGTTACGATTTGCGAATGACCGATAGCATAGTATTCGCATTATTCTCGTTCTTGTCGAAAAAAGAATACCTACCCCGCAGTTTGCAGAGGGCTGTACCTAAACGTGTAACAATCAAATTTTCGTAAATTGGAAGAGTATTCTTTTTTGATCAATATCCACCCATAGTATTTTCAAAAAGCCACCAAGAGCTCCTAGAAACAGTACAATCATTGTACCGAGCGCATGTTGACCCACGAAACCACGCCCGGTGCTCGGCACCCGACGGACGCTGGGGCTCAGTGACGAACGCAGTGTCCCCTCACTTGGTGCGCATTGACAGCGATTAACTTTCGTAAGCGGCAGTTACAAATGATGCTTACTTATACATCGTCGCTAGTGCGAGTTTGATGTCAGGCATTTTGCAAAATGCCTGGAAAAATATTTCAGGCAGTTTGCAAAATGCCTGGTGGGTCAGGCAGTTTGCAAACTGCCTGGGCATTTTGCAAAATGCCTGGCCGGTCAGGCATTTTGCAAATTGCCTAGGCATTTTGCAAAATGCCCGAGTTTTCACTTTGCCTGTAACAGATGAACTTAACGCGCCTAAAAAACCTGGGCCCAATCATACCAAATGCCGTGAATGCGCATTCACGGCATTTGGTAACATTCATAGTTATTCACCATTCATTCATTCGTTCAGGCAACATTCATAATCATTCACGCCGTTAAACACATTCGGCGAGATTAGCTGGACGTAAATAAAAAGAATACATTTCATATGACGGCCATTTTATATGACATTTCATATGACGACAAAGACGGCCGTCGCTCGGAGCGCGTCGGTCGGTCCGCCGCGCCGCGCCGGGCACACGTGTCCTCTGGCCCCTGTCCTTATTCTCATGCCCACGTGTTGTGCTACCACGAGGGTTGAGACGGGACGGGGGCCCGACAGTCTTCAACGTGGCTCCGTCAGTGCTACACGGCCCGGTGTACGACGCGGCCTTACGTACGACGCGGACGACGTGGCCTTACGAGAACGATTCAGTGAACCGCATTTGTGACCACCGTATTTCGGTGGGGTTGTTTTGAAGTTTACCCCAAATTGAGTTTACCACACTTGGTGAGATTGGGCCCTGGTTAGGTCTGTGTTAACCGCCAGGCTTTCCAATTCTTGATCGTACACAGTCTTCAATAACTTCAATTTCATTTATAATGCCCTTTTAAAACTTATTTTCCCATTTCAGTCGCCATCGAGTTCAACCATGCGTATTGCAATCATAGAGATCTTATAATATAGAGATGCCCATACAATGTTAAAACACTCAATTTCGTGTCGTTTCTTGGGCGTTTTTTAGGTAACTTTTTTGAGCGCAGGTAGCTCGTGAGGCTCTTAAACACAGACTGCTTCGGGAAGAAAGTAAAAACATAGGTTGATGACATCATGCAGATATATTGGACGAGTGTACCTGTACTGCCTATAGTAGAGAGCAAGTATAGTATGTAAATGAATATATTAAAAGAGACAATTATATATAAAACCGGACCGGTTTCGTCTAAAAAACTTCTACAGCGTTTTTTAACCGCTGAAGAAGTCGGTATAGACAATAACGGACAGCTGTTATATAATTGTCTTTTTTAATATATTCATTTACTATTTGCTCTCTTACGGATGACATCTTGGTTATTAAGGCACTACGCATAGATGACCGAAGTGTCGCAAGAAAATGTTTTCAAAAGTAATATGGTGTAAATAGCCGTTTTCGTGATTGACCTGACCTGCAAGGTCAACCAATGACCTAGGACCTTAAAATTAGGTATCATCGGCTTCCTCTCGTCAAGGGCAACACGCTCGTTTTTTTCCGCGAAGCTCTAGCTCGATCAGGGGCGAAACGGCAAGGGGGGTCCAACGGACCCCCCTTATACGTTCGCGGCTGGAAAAACACCAATACGGGCGAGGGTTAACCCTCGCCCGCACATGGGGGGGTGGTTGCCACCCCCCCCCCCCAAGTAGTTTTTCTGCTCTGCACTCAACATTTTTAGAGCTTGAAGGCTGATTTTTCGTATAGCTGCTCCTCCATCCTTTCTTGATGTCAACTGAAAATTTCAAGTTTCTGTGGTTTTTGGTTTCGGAGATATGACCTTGTTTTTCAGGTCATGTCATGGCCCAAATGGCCAATTCTCAGCATCTTGCGTTGGCTATGGGCCTTGTGAGCTTTTCACACCTTGATTTCGGCCTTTTTTGCCATTCTTACCTCCAATCTATCATGCAACATGTTGTTCGACGATGTACAGATGTCAAGGTCAGGGTCAAGGTCAACCTAGGTCATCTAAAATAATTGCGTTTTAGGCAAGCTAAATTTACTTTTCGTGAAGTTTTTTGACTGCATTTTTGGTAACAGCTTCTCAAATCATGATTTCATGTAATATGGACACATAAACACTCGGTGCACACATCAGTATACCTACACACAGACCTTGACCTCGAAACCTTGCACAGACCTTGACCTACACACAGACCTTGACCTTGACCTCGAAAGGTCAAGGTCAAAGGTTGACCTCAGGTCACGTGACCTCGAGGTCATCATGTATATCATTCGATGCGTCTTGACGAGCTGAACACAATGAGACCATCCGCGCGGCTGTATCTTGTTCCTGTACGGAGTTATTGGCAAAAAAAAACTTTGAACTTTGATGACGTCACATGACCTTACAGCTGCCCAACAGCAAAACTGACCTCAAGGTAGTGAAGGTTGATCGTATATGAAGTCATGTATGGTATATGGGGCCATTCCGACCCGTTTTAGTGGTAAAAACAGGGAGTTGATTTTTCTCCCATTGACTTATAATGGGGAGGTCGAGAAATTGACCTGACCTTAGGTCATCGATATCCAAATTCCGAGATAAACAAATTGTAGCTACTAATGACCTAATAACATCTTGCGATTTTCAAAGGCCTCCGACATCTACTGTAGCTCTGGCACGGTGACAAAGTTGCAAAAAAGTGGCTTGATGTTGGGTCATTCAAAGTGACCTGGTGACCTGACCTTAAAAGTTAGGAGGTTCAAACTTGCACACCATGTGTAAAATTGATGAGAGAATAGTCGTACCAAATTTCGCGGCGCGTAGCGCCG